ATTTTAATGGTATCTATCTACCAGTAGCTGCCTCATTTCCCACCCTCGGCTTATATTCGGGTCAATACTTTTTCCCAGTTTTTTTGGCTAAAATTAGGTACCTCGGCTTATATTCGGGACGGCTTATACTCGAGTATATACGGTACCAGGATAATTTCATGACATCTAGAAAAATAATAATGCATCTTCTATAATGAGTTATTTTTTCGCTTTGAAAACAGTTGAAATAAAAAAAGATATTCAAATATAGTGCCAAAATCCCTCTCTGTACAGAAGACAAAAATCCAAAATGCAAATATGAATATATTAACAAGTTACAGTGTAACAAACCTCTGGTGCTTGAAGTGTACCTACTGTTTAAAGTGCATTAATTGTGTAAACACCTCCAACTTCAGATATCTTCAGGAGTGTCCCAGAAACCCTGACACTTAGGGTATGCCAATGTACAAATTTCTAAACCTCATGGTAGTATCCAGTAAAAATCTAAATGATGTATTTACCTATTTCAGGGTCTTCCTGGACCTCCAGGTGAAAAGGGAGAAAACGGTGATGTTGGACCAATGGTAAGTATACTACGGCAGAACATAACATTGTAATTAACTTTGTGGCCATGTGCAGTTTACACTCTTTTTTTTTTAACTATGTTTGTTTACTCATGCAGTTAAACATTTTTGGTACTGGTTCCAATTCACAGTGACTTTGTATTGTAAAATATAATTTTTATACAACAAATTAAGTTTCAATTTTTTCAAAACAGGGTCCACCTGGCCCCCCTGGTCCCAGAGGCCCTCAAGGTCCTAATGGTGCAGACGTAAGTATACTGATTAATGTATGATTACAAATTTCCTGTCTGTTATGTATCAGATAATCTGATTTTGATTCTTCCTGCAGGGTCCACAAGGTCCTCCTGGGTCAATTGGTTCTCCTGGAGCAGTTGGTGAGAAGGTATGTAATAATCCTGGTAATTTTCTATTTTGAAACTTAAAAATGTTTAAATTTGATGCACACTTTGGTCTGAGGAAAAACTAGGTTAAAGTGGTTTGGTTTAGCTTACTTATTAGGTGAATATGATTTACAGAAGTATTGGTATTGGGAGCGCACTACATAAACTAAGTACCGTCAGGAAGACGCGAGAGAAGAACAAGAAGTTGGAGGGGAGAAGGTATAATCGTAAACTACGTAAGGGGTATTTTATTTTGAGAGTGGTAAAGATGTGGAATTCATTTCCACTGATAGCAGCGGGAAACATAAACTGCTTAAAAAAAAAAATTGGATGAGTTCCTCAATTCTTAAAACATGCGGGGTTATTGAAATTTTGAGGATCATACACACACACACAAAACCATATAGATTTAACCTGACGTACCTGTGTCTTTATTCAACCTCACCTTCTATGTAACTATATATATATATATATA